TTCCCTCTACTGTTGCGGATATTGTGGGATTGCTAGCACCAATCACTGTGTATAAAAGGAGCTCTATATGCATTCACGGAGGAGTAATATAAAGAGGTGGAATGATTCCGGATATTGCTGATGGAGGAAAGTGAATCCCAGCAAGATCCATTCCGCTAAGTGATATGAAGTGCTCCAAAAGGAACTCGAGGTCGTAGACGTGAGGTCGAGGTCTCAAGATTAATGATGATCGGAATAAATCAAACTTCGAAAATGATTAGAATTTCAACCTTCAAACTATTTGCAATCACTAGGCGATCGAAGTGAATAGAACATAAAACATATATGCAATAGTTATACCAAGTAAACAGGCAACCTGTAAAACAACTCACCAAAAATTGAAGAGCAAAACGATATTCCTAAACCAACCACTGCATTGAAAACGGTTTTTTATAATTTGAGAAACAAATTTGTACATAAAATAAATGAGACACAGCTTCAAAATGACATGGGGAAGAGAGAAAAGACAACCACTGGAAAGGGTCTTAAGTTAAAGTTTTAGATACGTGAAAGAAGTATACAGGGGAATAAGTGAATTGGGGCCAGGAAAATCAATCTCATTTTCTTCGGAATTATCACTGTTGGTGCTTGGAAAGAGCAAAGAGGTGCTAAGTAAGCAATCAAGAACTAAGTGCTGCAAAAACACCCCATATAACATCCAAAGGTGTGCCGGTGGAGCCTAACTCATTGTAGTTGAGATCTAACAGGGCCCTAACATGTTTCGTCGCGGTATTATAATCCTGGTTTGAAAGAGTAAGGAAGGCATTCTCGAGTACATCTGCACGATGGGCAACAACTATCAATGAAAGACATCGTTTGTCCATTCGGTGAACATCTGTAGTCCAGTTATTTAAGAGGGAGTCATTTATTCGTTGCATAATGAGCTGTTTGGCGGGTGTATTGATAAGTGGATGGGTAGTCATATCAAAGAGGATGAAATTCTGCTTTTCAGTGCAGCAAACTCCCTTCTCAACTAAGTTCTTAGCAATGCGCTCACGGACATTTCTCATTTGGAGAGTGATTTTAAAGGGATTCCAGGTTTCACCTAGAATATGATAATTGATGAATAAAACATACCACTAAGATACTCAATCCAAGTTTTCACATCAGCGGGTTTGTTCGCGCTAATCGTTCGTAGAGCCTCATCCAACAGCATATCACCAGTGGGGATATTCTTAATTACAACAACATTTCGATTTAGTATAAAACGACGGGCAGATGGAGGTTCGAGGGTGATACGTCCTCTTAAAGCCAGCTCAATAAGAAAACATCCACGAAGACCAAAACTAATATTATCGTTCCAAAATGAAGTGTATCCTTCTCGGTCCTTTAAGCCAAGTAGTAAAATTTCCTCCATAAGGGTAAATCGGGTCTGTTTGGATTCATCGTCTTTTTGCTTATCATCTGTGTAAGCAGAGTCGGCATCTGAAGTTGACGGCCTTTCACGACCGATATTACGCCTCGAAACAACAGTTTCCCCCGAACCAGACATTGATACGCTATAGGCACGACGTCGCCCTGCTATTGGCTTGATTATACTCAATCTGTTGGCTTTGTTTTTAGTTTCTTTATCTATATTAATGATTAGATTCACTCGTAATATTAAATGTTAAACTAAACATCGGTTTACATAAATATATTAAAATAAAAAATGAATATTATTTCGGATGAATAAACTTGTTCCAGAGACAATCTTATAAGTATTGCCTATTCTCGCATGGGTATATTAAAATCCCTTTAATATTTTTTGTATTATTATCTAATTATTTGCCATTTAATTAAACTCAATTGAGAAAAGAGCAGGAGTGAACGGAACTGTATTCAAATTTTTGATTAGATTAATGCAATAACTTAAGAAAAAAAAGAAAAGTGAGTTGCAAAATAAGGATTTTCAATTATGAGTAATACTAAGTGGTCCTTTCCACTACCTACATGATCTATTTGACATTCAGATATGAATGGGCTGAGGTTGAATCAGCCTCGAGGCACAAGACACGATTTTAGTTATGATATGATAATTTATTAAATAACAGAAACTCCTTTATAGAGATACAGGTTGTCCTTATATTATTGAGCACAAACGCTCATTGTCGGAAAATGGTAACTAATTCTGGTATTTCCAATGAATCTCAGCAAAATATGGTAATATAGTAGGAATCATGTTATTAAAAATAACCTTTCGATTAATTGAACATTCTTGGCTGAATTTTCTTAAGTTTTGCATGGATAAATCAAAATGTAGCCAAAAATTGATGTTGAAAGCATATTGAGTATGGAACATTTTTTAAAAATGAGCAATTCATAACGTCTTGATACAACCGAATATTTAGACAACTTCAATAAGATACCTCACTTAAATTGATTAATTTCGCTCAATATTTTGGAGATAAGAATGCCATTGAGAATCAAACATTAGAATTATAAGTTATGAATGAAGTTAATGAGAGATCAGTTAATTTAAATATGAAAAATGCAAGTTGTGGCTTGATAATTTTGCACTTATTATTAAAAAAATCAAGATGAATTCATAATTAAAACTTAATCATATTACATTCCCGATTTAAGATATCTGAACACTGTAAACATGCGTCAAATGGTTCTGGTGATTTTACAACTTTAATATCATTGGTTGTTGTAGGTCATTTTTATTTGCTAATGCCTATCTTTATGTTGATTAACCTCATTTCGATATAATCCAATGCGCCTAGTGAGTTTCACGCTGCATTTGAACGAAAATTCAGGAAGCTCTATGTCTTTTCGTCTAATTTTATTTTATGCTGATAATAGGTAAAATCTTAGAATATGAAGTTAGTATTTATTTATCGAATATAAGTAGACTTGCGCTATTTAAACGAATGTTTTATTTCATTTGAATGGGAAGCTTTTACGGTTTTACTTTTTAGGATGTGAAAATCTACCTTATTTTCTCCATTTTACCCACGGTGTTCAGCTCAGTAATTTCTCCAGTTTATCTAAGTTATGGCGAATACGAACGCATAGTCCCCAATGCCTTTTCTCCCAGTGTTGCTTGTCTCAACGATCAACCTTGGTTTGACTGGTTTTATCGGGGATTTGAACACCATGAAATTCGAATTAATGGTACTTCTCAGAATGTATTCCCAATAAGGGTTTTTATCGGATCCAGTGTGTCAGATCTTCAATCACGATCCCCCTGGCTCAAGGATTTTCCTTCGGATTTGGGATCTGACTTCTACGAAATATATCAAGATTTATCAATCGAGCTTTATGGATTTGATTCGCATTGTGTGGCATTTATTAAGCCACCTGGTTTTGTACAACTTGGCCCCCTAGATGCTTTAACTGTAGAATTTACTTCCAGCATTGACTATTTCCGATATGCTCGTTTACTTGTCGGTCTTCTCTTGTACTTTGGAACTTCCTTTATTACAGAGAACATTGGGTTTTACTATGCCTCTGGTGTAAGCTTATCCGTAATTGGAGGTCTCCTTATTCTCCTCTTAATCGCCATGAGGTTGCTTCCAAAACGAACAACCCTATTATTGCAGTCGGCTTTGCTTATCGGTAGTGGATTTGCCAGCATTTTAGTCATTTACTTGCAATATCTTCGCACTCTTTTGTGGAGCTTCATTGTAAATCACGCTTTTCTTATTCTGTGTTACATTCTTATAACTACTCTACTATCTGCCATAGTTCTCTACTGGTTTAGTCTTCCTGAACGACTTATTGAAAGCTTTCCTCGAACTCAAAATGTTTTTCGGTTTTGTCTCCGAATTACTGGAATCTCTCTCATAGCTTCTGCCCCTCACCTTCCTTCAGAACTTACCCTCGTCACAAGAGTAATTCGCATTGTCGCCAGCTGTGCTGACTTCTACCTTGGTATTGATAGATCGTATGTATTGGCATTGTCGCCTTTGATTATGCGAGCTCTGTTTACTGCGGCTATCGTGTTGTTGTGCTACTACGTATTGTCTCATTTTAAGAATAAAAGACGGCCAAGAGTACTTTTATCACCTCCTTCGAGAAGAAACAACTATCGCCTTCCTGATCTTCCCTGTGCTACATCCTCCCCTCTCGGCACTCGATCAACTTGGCGCACCCCGGTGTCTGATGAATACCTCTCTTCGCCGCCTCTAACCACACACTATGGTGGCTATGGCTACTTGCCGGTAAATGACTCAAATGGCTTTACAGACAGTTATTGGGACGAAAATGGCCTTGTTGTTTCGCCAGCTCAGTCAAGAAATTGCCGAGGAAATTCCAGTTTTGTTCCCCCTGTTCGTGATCGAAATTTAGCACCGCGACAGTATCGTAGTCATATTGGATGGATGTCAAGGGATGAGGTTGTCACAGATGATGAGGACTGAATCGAAAATAAATTGTTTATGTATAGCTTATTCAAAGGCAGTATTTTTATCAATATAAATGTGTGCATTTCAATGCTTGGTTACTTTAATTTTGTCAGTAGTAATTATAATTTTGAAGTACTTGTCAGTAATACCTGAATAATATGTGGCTTTTAAAATCTTAGTAGCAATTCTCATAAATTTTGCTGTACGACTACGTTGATGATGGTTTATTGGACTGACCTAATGGGTGAATATACAGCCGTTTGGGAAGAATTATCTCCTAGTTGGAGGCCTGAATCGCTCATAGAATCAAGTGGTCATTTTGATGCAGACGATGGCAATAACTCTGTGAAATATCTGATCATTTGCCCTAAACGTGTTCAATTAAGTTTGAGATAGTGTTGTCAATTAATCATTGTTTAAATCCCCAAAATATGGTTGGATGACATGTTCAAGACGATGTTAATTTTATTTATTAATTCGTTAATAGTCACCATAGGGATCTAATTAGGCTATTTTTATTTAAAAATTGATCTATAAGTCCTCTTTCCGCTTTGAATTTAGGCTGCACTTTAACCGTGGTAGTCTAACTTCGAATTCGCTTTCTTCTAAATTACAATTTAGTGTGCTCCCTTTTCAACAATATGCACATTTAAAATTATTTTCCTATTAGCATAAATACGATCACCACCTTTAACTTACGTTCCATCTTTTTAAACGTGCTAATGAAATCTCCAGCTGGAGCGCTTTATCCAACCACCCATTACAATTCTTCCCCCTCCAACCCGCTTTTCACACACACACACACACACACACACACACACCTCCCCTCCAGACTTCTTCCTTTTAACCATTGCACCAACTTTCCTTCCAATCGAAATGTACGTTTTCGACACGCGCCGTTTCACCTTCCCAACATGCTTTCATTCTTAATTCTTCATTCATTCATTGCTTTTTGCCTCCTGCACTCTCCCTCTCACCTCTACACTTTCCTTGCACATCTTAATTAATTAAATGATGACCGATGAAACCAACTTCGTGTAATTTAATGATTTTTAAGTGGTTAACTAATATTCATTTGTCTAGGCCAAACGTGAAATTGGAGGGGAAAGGTAGTGGGAAGTGCTTGCCACTGCTTAAATACACAAATAAATCGACTGGCCTTTAGGATAGTGCTATGGTAGAACGAATCGTTAGAGAATTTATTCCCACGCAACCTTAATTAGCCATTCGATATTAATCATTTTGCTAATGACAGCATTTCACGATTATTGCTGGATTTCATTAGAAGATGGGCATTCAGGGTTGAAAAACTGAGTGATTCGGATACAGGGCGAACTAGTGTATTGCACTTGAGTACAAAGTAGTAAGATAATAATGAAATCAGGACATTACGAGTCCTACTTTATTGGAATAATGGAAATATTGAGCTATCAGGGTTCATCTAAGGACTATAAAATTCTTTTTTTCTAAATTCACCTATTGTTCATATGGCATAAATCGACTCCCATATTCATGCATGAAATAATGCTCACGAAACTCTGGGCCTTATTGATCCACCTCGATTGTTACAACCATGACAGTGTATTTGAGGCTAGCTACTAATTGCTATACACACTCTTGTCTACTTCTGGATCGAGTTTTTTCATTATTTTTGCTATAATTTTTAAGTTTGACCGAGTCACAAAATGGGTTGACTTGTTTATAAACAGTCTACTTCCTCATTTTCCTCATTCAAATAACCTAACGGTCTATCAAACCTTAACGATGAAATGGAGTAAAAAAGTCACTTACCTTCCCACTCGCCTTTGATTGACCTAATCAACACTGCTAATCTAGCCCAGTCAATCAGGCAATTTTATCAAAATCGTGTAAATTTGACAGGAGAAAAAGAAGAAGAAAAAGTGAGAGAGAGTTTTTACTAAGGCTCTTTTTTGCGCTATTAAGCCCGCTATTCATATGGCGTGTGATGAAGTTGGCTCTGATGTTTGACTAATCCCTTAGGCAAGTTGCGGGGCTTCTCCCTTTATTTATTTCATAGGCAAGTAATTAGCTCTTGGGAACACATTTATGAAGTGAGGTAAGTCCAAAGTCCCATGATTATCAACGCCTTTCACATAATGCCAAGGGGGATAATAAATGGAGCAGAAAGGTGTTCACCTATCCTAAATATCGGTCATCCCACACATTAACTACACAATATCGTAAATTATACCGCATAAAACCACTCTGTCCTTGTTGCAAACACTGAATTATTTTTAGTTCCTCTCTGGCCTATTTTAACTTAGTTAAAAAAATATAAAAGTGAATGTGCATACCAACAGATCACACTTCTTTTAGTTAATCTTGTACCACAACAGGTATCCTTAAAAAGAAATTTCCATTGGATTGCATGTATTCCTATACTAAATTTACAAAAAATTACGTGCGAACTCTATTTACTTCAGGCAAATATGTTTATTGATTATTACACTAATTAAATCTACTTAACAAAATGTAATAGTGCACATGAGAAAATTAATAAAATCAATATTTTCATTTGCTAATAAGGAGCACGTGTTCGTTCGCTAATTCCAATTTCGAAATCGATATCGGCAAGCAGACAAATGTATGAACAATTGGAAAAGCATAACAATGAGATTAGTTAATTGATTTTCTTCCACCTAGTTCTACTCAATGCCGAATTTAACCAAGGTTTTCCTAAACATATTTTTTTAATTATATGCGTAAAGTATTTAAAAAAATAAGAATTTAGCTCAAGTGCCTTCATTTTCATTTAAGAGCTGTCTTTTATCATAAGTATACAGTTTTTTTAGTTCTAAACTCCGACGGTTTTTTTTCAGTTCGTAAACTCCGATTCTATAATAAAAAGCTAATGGCATTTTGTTAACAAAGTAGAAATAGCACCAAAGTTAAATGCGCTTTTTTAAAATTGGAACTATTAATCATATTTTTTTCAAAGTTGAAAAAAGGAGCTAAATGCAAAAGGGCGACAACTCTTAACACAGAAAAAAAGAGAGAGGGGGAGAGGGAGGGAGAGGGAGTTAAGACTGCCTGAACGACATTTGACCTTTTTCTAAAGCCTTTAAAGTTTGTTAATATTTAACCTCATCTAAATGCCAGAAAGGAAGGAGCAAATTACACTAATAATCTAAACTTCATTTGGTGGATGGCGTCTCTGGGACTAACTAATTTGCATTAATTTTAGTTGAAGAGGTGAAAACAATTTTAACCCAATTCCATGGATATTTTTACGGTTAAATATAATATTCATCTGGATCCAAAAATTAAACAAAGGTGATAATCCAGTGTCCGTGAAACAACATATGGAAATGGTCGATAACTTACCTGGTGAACATATTATTTATATATTTATTTAAAATGGCAGGCATTTTGATAGTTATCATTACCCCTTTAGTTGACTTCGGGCTTCAGAGAAGGGAGGAACATTAAAGTGGGAAAAATTCGACAGGGGAAAAGAAGAGCGATTCAAGTTAGAGGTCAACTGCCAGTTAATGGACCTTTTTGCCTTATGAGTATACGTTGCCCAGATTGCACCACGTGGAGGTAACCCCCTGGTGAGCATATAAGCACTGGGCTCAACTAATTGCATGCCCGAGGGGTTCCATCTTACGGTGTTAATTCAAACAAGCATAAACATGACTATTTATTCTGATTCCAGTCGTTCTTAAGTCATTCTTCTTATGATAATTCATCGCGTGCAACTGGGAAAATGTCCTCTATTCAATAACTGAAATAAATGACTTTTTAATTCTTTATATTTGGAACAAATTAGATAAAGCAATGAGATTTATTATTTATTTGCCAAATCATGCACAAAGAAATAGTGAAAAGTCTATCTTTCCTTAAAGCGTATCAAATTCGATTTCGTCTACATATATAGATATAAATCTGGTGATTATAAGAGGATAACTTAATTTCGAACAAATTTTTCAATAAGAGCGACCTTGGACTATCTATTCTTTAATTGAAATGGGCGTTTCCACAACATTTTTGGATTTAAAAATTAATTCAAAAACTACCTACACAACTGTCTAAACCTCATCTGAAAAAAGCTTTTTCTATTCAATAAAAAAGCGCCCTTTGTAAATACTCTCTAGCCTCTCCGAAGCCACGTACTTATTCCCGAAAAAAACGCGCAATTCCTTCCACTAATTGAACCGAAGTGCCTGTCAATTTCCTCTCCCTCCAAAATGACAGTGATTGCGTTTGACTTTACCATTTGATAACATACTTCATTCTCTAATTACTTACACACTGCGCCATAATTAATTTTGACCAGTAATTACCTCAGAAATTTGTGGTGAATTTACACTGTATTGAAAAGGGTGAAACATAAACGGAGGCATTCAAATTTTGTCGTTTCTTCGGTTGTTCATGTGCTTACTTGAGTACATTGGTTTTTCGACATTTACTCATAGGTCTTCCTTTCGAATTTTTTCTTCGGCTGTGATTTAAAATCAGCATTCGCATACTATTAACTCTAAAGTAAAAGTAACTGAAATACAATTGAACTAAACACTGCTTGATTCTGCTAAACAAACCACCTCGTGTGCTATTCTTTAAATTAATATATATTTAAGTGGGCGGAAAAGTCATTCAGGTATATTTTTTTTATTTTTGAAGTCCATTCTTTCCGATCAAACCACAGAAATATTTATTGTTAGCTTTATCTAATTTTAAAGTTTTACCACAATAGCAAACTCCCAAGTTAACTTTGTTTGTTAGTAAAACGGTAAGCTGAACGGTTATCAACTAGGTTTTAATCTCTCTATTAACTGATTCCTGTTACTTCACAAGGCACAAATTTTAACCTTCTATCAGAGTTACTCTTCAATACTGAAAATTAGCAATAAACAGCCAAGTTAGAAATGAAATACGTTTTCCAATGGAAAAATTAACAAAGCCAATAGGTGAAATACGACATCCTTTCACTAAGTTTAGTGATTTTGATTTAATGTTAATATAATTTTCATGGAAATGTATTTGACGTGGGT